CAACCACAAACAGCACCCCTAAACCAAAAATCGAGAGCATTACTCTATTTTATTCTTTTTAGAAAAATGAACAAAAAAGAGAAAAAGAAATCTTTCTTAAACTCGGAAAACTTATTCCTAAATCATCTAAACATGAACACAAGCAACAAACAACTGAACAGCAACAAGAACAACAATCCAAAACTAAAACTAACCCAGCAACATATGATTGGCTAGCCAACTTCCCTGTTACTGAAGAAATGAAAAACAGAACCCAATTACAAACTGATCTTAGCAGAAAAATTTTTAATCACCTTAAATCACACTTATATGACTTTTACCCAGGAAAAAAAATCAAAGCAGCTACACCAAATCTAAAACCTCTCAAGGCTAGTTTTTATCAAATTATTCGTAAAATGGCTGGCACAAGACCACAATTCCTTATTGATTTTATTCAACAAAATAATCCTGACACTGACAAGGTTATTACTATTCCATTTGACATTTTTTGAATCAACCTTCAAACAACTCACTCATACATTCACAACTGTCTTTTTCACCAAACTTAATTATCCTAAAATTTTTGCTTCATCTGCTACCATTCCACTATACCAAAACCAAAATCGACTTCAATTTTGTATCAACCTTGCTCGACTCCATCTATACCTCTCAAACAACTATCAAACAATCGATTATAACAAATTTGGAGAGGATATTAAACTTAGATCCAAGAGATTCAAAATCTCATCTACTTTTTCAGACTATGACAAAGAGGAAAAAATATCTTTCTATCAAATCTGACAGCAAGTTTAATATCTATCTGACTTTAAACATTCCAAAAACTCTTTTTCTACAAAATTTTAATATCCCTTCTCTTAAAAATTCTCTTGATCATTTTGAAAATTGGTTTGAACACTTCTTCCCACTCTATAATCGCTAATTTGCTGACTCTCTCAACAAAACTAAGGTTTACAACTCACTCAAATACCAATTTCGCCAACAGTTTATCTCTTACCTTAGAGAACTTGTTCCTCCTACTCTAGAATGCAATAAACCTAACAATTCATTAAAACGTTATAAGGAAGCTACAAAACTTACCAACTATCACATAATGAACTGTTCAGATATTACCTGTCTTCATATGAAAAAAATTGAAATCAAGAACAAAGGAAAAGAAACAGAAAACCAAACAACACAACAATTCACATTCAGACATAATTATACTAAATTGTTTAAAGCTATCCTTGAGCAATCATATATCAGCTACCCGAAACAACAACATAAATCTTGGCCACATCCTGATATTAATCCATTACTATTTATTATTGATGGAAAACATACAGCAACCTTTAGTAAAGAGATCTCAACTAAACTATTAGATGAACTTGCTACTCAAACAGAAGACTATATCTGCAAAACTCACTCTATGCCAACTGTTACCAAACATTGCAACTATTATTTCTATGAACTTTTAATTGCATACCAACAAGCAGCCGCACAAAACCATCTCATTGATAATATCAATAAGCAAAAAGCAATAGAAAATCTTACTATTAAACCTATCAGTACAGATTTTCTTGCTAGAATCATTGCATATTTCGATACTAAAAATGAATCACTTAATTATCCACAACTTGTTAAATTCTATAGAGAAACTGCTTACCCAGAAGCAGAGAAAATCATTCAAACAAAATTCAAAATGTCCTACACTACACCAGCCACTATAAAGGAGTCTCTTTTCTTTGAAGAGAGTTCTTTTTAATAACTTTGTCTTCTACAAAACATATAGATGCAGCCACCAACTTATCAAAAGAAATAACTGATGTATTTGATAAGGAAGATGATGTAAGTGGGCAGGCGGTAAAGCCTATTACGCCGAGGACCATTTATATGAGGGTCAAACCCAATGTATAGGGCAGACTATGGAATCCTGCGCAGCTGTGAGAACTGAGCTTGAAACGGCGAACGACCCTGTAGAAGACAATCTTAATACTGGCAAATCATCTTCAACATCTTTAGACCCCTATAATGAGCCAACCCAATATACTAACTATACAAACACAAATACAGTTTATACCAATGAACCACACATAATTACATACAATCTTAATACATGTTATAACAAAATCTTACTATCCATCAATCTTCCTCAACTTCCATATCCTCAAACTATAGATTCCTTCATTAAACACCTTGAATCCTTCAACTACAACCTTAATAATATATACAACTGTACATTTAATTTACTAATTAAAGAAGA